CACAAAAAAAGTATACAAAAACACTAAAGACATGAAATACAAATCTGAGAGTACTCGCAGATACTGTTAATTAATTCCGCGTCACTAACAACTAATACAAAATCATGAATCTACGACTAAAAAATCAATCAGTCTACAACTAATGGATTTGATGTCAAGACGCCATCAACAGTCAGAGAAAAAACATGATCATGTGTGACACCAAAATTGTAAATATCTACATAATGAGCGCATGCTTATAGCTGTATATCAATATTATGATCCCGCCAATGTAATACGGTTACAACAACGATATACAGAGAGGCATACAGGACCTTGTTCGCTCTAAATAAAACCCAACACAAGTTGTATGTCAAAAATGAGCATTTAATATAAAATGCTAATATCAAACAAGAGAACACATGTACAATATGATATAAAAAAACAAATTTAAAAAAAAATATCAAAAATATCAAAATTATTCATGTAACCAATATGGTAAAACCATGCATATGACTAGACTGTAAATAGTGATTGATTCATCTGATATAATTAGAGCGAAGGTGGGGCATAAAAAGCGCCCGCAAACATGGATATAGAAATAACTAGACTGTCAAATACTGATTAATTCATGTAATTACCAACAACATGAGACAAACAATCAAAACAAAACACAAATTTACACCTTTTCAAATAAAACAGTTTTGGTATAAAAGGAGGGAGGTAGGGGAGGAAAACGGAAAATCGACGAATTATTTTTTTCTTGGGATAAAATTTCACTTCTTTGTTTCCTAAATGAAGGTGTTGTCCGAAAGGAAACATTTCATTGGTCGATCGGCTATCAATCTAAACAAAAGGGACCTGGTAAAACAATAGCAACAATCCTGGCAGTATTGAGGGACCATAAATCATTTATGCTCAACATAATTACCTTTATGATCCCGCCAATGTAATACGGGTTCAACAAGGATATACAGAGAGGCATACAGGAGCTAGTTCGCTCTAAATAAAACCCAACACAAGTTGTATGTCGAAAATGAGCATTTAATATAGAATGCCAATATCAAACAAGAGAACACATGTACAATTTGATATAAAAAACAAATTATATAAAATATCAAAAATATCAAAATTATTCATGTAACCAATATGGTAAAACCATGCATATGACTAGACTGTAAATAGTGATTGGTTCATCTGTTATTATTAGAGCGAAGGTGGGGCATAAAAAGCGCCTATAAAGCTGTTTGAATTTAAACGTCTTAACATGAAAATTCAAACAGCTGCCCCAACCGATGTATGCCTCTGATAATATATAAGAATAACCCAGTTTCTATGAACAACTATGATAAAAAGAAAGAAATACTAAAGACTATAAACTATTGTTAACAAAACAAAAATATTTCTACACCATCTTCCTAGCAACAAATTTTTGCCATGCAACGTCTTACAACAATGTGCATATAAATCATGATAATGGTGAAACATAGTCTTAAAAAAAGATGCAACTGTCAACCGTAGAACTAATGAACGGATTTGGGCTGTGTCTTTTAATAAACAACGGTATGGAATACCAGGACGGCATAATTAATATTAACATCCAGCACTGTGAATAATAATACACTTTACAATGCTGTTGTAAGAGAAGTGTAGACCAATGTCTTTTATATATAAGTCTACTCCTTATAAAACTTCAATGCAATATATTCATCCGATTCTGTTCAAAGGTGTTCTAGCACAAGTCTAAGTTCAAATTTCGTAAAGCAAGCAATGTGTATCCTTGCAATGCATCCAGTATAAAACTTCAGCATGCCGATTTTAAAAGTCTATCCAACAGGTAGAAACGTACATTTTAAATTCCCAAACTGTTGTTGCTGTCCGTAATAGTGTTTCCTTTTATAGCGGACAAACATTTAGTTCTTACAGATTGTTTAACAGGTAAGACATCATATATTGAGTCTTATTAAGTGTGTACAACAGCAGAGTACTTTCTAAAACTATGATACTTTTCCATGTGCAATGTCTTTTTTTATTGTTCCAATTCAAGACTACAGAATAATCCACAGCTTTTCCACGAACAACATCAAATGTCACCATTCCATACACAAATGTATCCTCTCATTGCAGACTAACTAACATAATGTAACTAGAAAGCTACACTCTTTCACTAAAAAGAGAAAATAATACTGTAACATGTGTAACATTAACAATGCAAGTCACTATATAAATGATGTATTTTCACACATTAAATGCAAAAACTTTGAATAAAGCAAATCCCAAGCCGCCTCAGACAGTCTTGAGAGAAAAAAAAAAATAATACAAAAATGAATGTACAAGCTATCTAAGCCTAAGTACGTCTCATATCTTTATTAAACTTAATAAAATTAAAAGATAACCGACTTTGTACGGTTATGAAAAGATTTCTAAACCATCAGAAGGCAAGGCAACAATGGCACCCGAATACATGTATATCTGTTGTAAGAATCAGAATGCCCGATTCTTTGAATCAGGAATACCTAACATGTGTACTGTTGTAGCAGCACCAATACGAAAACTGTGCGACTTGTAAAACTGTGTATCATACTTAGCAGACGAAAGCGCCAATGTTAAGATATTACAAATTTCAGATTTTTAAATAGGTCTTGTATTTCTGTAGCAAACAAAAGAGGGCCTGCTGCTTTTCTCCGTAATTTTAAAAATTCTCTCATTTTCTTTACAGGAAGAAAGTCAGGTTCAACTTGAGTCTGTAACTGAACAGGCTGTTTAGACAAATTATGTTTAAAGTTGGACATCTTTAAAATTAAATACGGATTTCCAGAACCAAAATTTTTAAATGTCAGATTTTCCAAATAAATCAAATTATGATTTTCTTGTTTCTTCCTAATCGTTATCTCTTCTATACGAAGGAAAGCATGAAATGCCATTAAAACATCAACGAAAACATTTTATTTTTGATAGAAAGATCTACAGACAAATGGTAATGCCCTGATAATGTCACGGAGAACAGAAAGAGTAATAGGGCGCCTCACATCAGGAGCTGCTGATAAACGCTTAGCACCACAAATCATTTTTTTTATTAAAAAATTTGAACACAAATCCTGATGACGATTGATTTTGAAATTGTAAGATAATGCACCAAAGTAAGTACTTATAGTGTTTTGTGACTTTCCATCCTCATAAGAAGATGCAATTCATGTGAGCAATTAAATAGAGTATGATATCGAAAAACTTTACTCAAAAAAGAATGAAATACTCTTAAAGCATTACCATACACTTTTTTTGGTAGAAGGTGCAATAGCAGCGTCTATCAGCAGGCTTGAAGTGTTTAACAAACTTCTAGTAACCCTGTTAGAAACGTGTCAATAAAAGGGGCCAGTCTGTGAAACTCCTGAATACGAAAACGTGAAAGCAGATCCGGTAGAATATTATGTGCTCCAGGAATGTGTTCGGCACGCATTAATATGTTCAATTGCATGCATGTCAGAACAAGTCGCCTCACTAATTTCATAACCATAGGCTCTCTTGAGGTTTGTTTATTGACAATCCATACCACTACCTGATTATCAGAATGGAATAACAAGCAAGAATTATAAATAAATGACCCCAGACTTTAACTGCAAGCACAATGGGAAAGAGCTCTTTAAACGTAATTGTGCACTCATTGAGAGAATCTGACCAGCGCATATAAAACCAATGCGACTTGAAAATAACACCATATCCAATAGCTCCAGCTGCGTCTGTGTAAAGGTGCAATTTAACAGATGACATCAACACATAGTCGAGCATCAATGCCTTTCCATTGAAGTAATTAATAAACATATACCAAGCTAATAGGTCTGAGCGATTTTCTTTAATAAGCCTAGTGGTGAGGCCTGGAGATATACTTTGTCAAATCTATCAATCGCATTCAAAAGGCTCGCCCTGGAACAACAACACAGCACGCAAAATTAAACAGACCAATTAATGACTGAAGCGCACGTAAAGTAACCCTTTTTCGAACTTTCATAGCCTGCAAAGCAGCCTCAATTTTTCTAATTTTATCATCTGGTAACCTTGCTTACATGAGGACAGAATCCAATTCAATACCTAAGAATACCAGACAAGTACAGTAATATTCAGTTTTTTCATCCTTAATCATGTTAATTGGAACTCCGAATGTTTTACAGAGATTTAAAAACAATCTTAAACTTTCCCCACAAACATTACTGTTTGCAGGACCTACAAAAAGAAAATCATCTAAAATATGAATCATATCCTGATATTTAGCCTGTTTTGGGCTATCCATTGCAAAACTTTTGAACATTTTTCAAAAATAGAACAAGAACTACCAATTGCTAAACAACGGTTAAGATAAAACTGATTCTTCCAATTCATACCTAATAATTCATAGTCCAAATAATTAACAGGAATATTTCTATATGCACTATCAATATCGCACTTGGCGAGATTACAATTACGACCGAGTAATACTATCAGCCGGACAGCATCATCTACTGCAACATATGAAACACTTTTAGATTCACCAGGAATATGATCCTTTACAGAATGAATCGAGGGATAAGACAAGCGGTGTGTCAATTTAAATTGACCTTCCTCCTTTTTAAGAACCACTCCGATAGGAGAAACCTGTAAATTTTTAAACGGAATTTCCGAGAAAGGATCAGCAATTCTACCAAGACTAACTTCCTTTGACAGTTTTTTGTTTATCTACAACATCTGGGAGTTGACAAGCTGACTGTAATTATTTGACATCATTTGTTCCCGAGGTACCCCTCGTAACCTAGATGAACACATTTCTCAAACCCAGATACCAAATAATTTGCATCCTGACTAGGATATCCCATAAGTAAAAATTTTAAAGTTTTAGAGCAAATAGGAGTGACAACCGATTTCCAAGTATGACTTAAGTGAGTTTCATAATTACTTGTTCCTGGGATCGGGCTTGGGTGTTGAATGGTGTTGTTGTTTTGACGGAGCAACTCGTTTGGCACATCTGATAATAGAGGATTGCCTTTACATCCTCAGCAACGATGGGCAAATTTGCAAACTTTGATGCAACAAAATCCATCTTTATTATAGTTCCAACACACCCCTTTTGGCAACGTTTCGTTCGTTGAAAACCCTTTTTGTCTTTTGGAGGAATTCCACTGACGGTTCCCAAAAGGGACGAAAAGGACGACATCCCTGGGGACTCCCCTGTTGGGGCATTGTTGCTATAATATAGAATTCCATGTTTAAACTATGCCATGGCACTCCTCTTATTTGTCTGTCCATATGGACTTGCTGATCATATGTCAGCCAAGTATTGTTACTTGACTGCGTGGAAGCCAAATCCCTAACAAGTTCTGCATGCTTCGCCAAGTAAGCAGTGGACTCTGGGAATTTTTCACTATAAATTGCCATAAATCTTAAAAAAGCTGTTGTCCACTGTTCAATAGATGAAATAATAAACCTAGGCCTGTTAGGAACCAGTGACATGGTTGAATTCCCAGACACTTGAAACTGCAAGCCATTTTTCTTGGAATTTGCTAAACAATTTTGTGGTAACAATAAAGAAAGATCAATATATTTATCTTGCCAAATTTTTTGTTTAATGCCTGGGTCTACCATTGCTGCTATAGGAGTAGATAACGAATTAGTTACAGGCAGATCTACTTGCCACTCATGTTCTGTGTCATCCATCTCCACCCCTTCTTGCTCACCAATTTCAGAAATATGATCCTCTTGCTCAACAGCAGGGATTTCCTCTACTGGCTCCCTTCTATGCATCGACTGGATAACGGACTCAGTAATCCTGGCTACTAAAGCCTCTTCTGCTTCAGAGGAAAAAGGGGATGGAGACTCCGTTCTCTGGGCTTTATTCTTGCCTTTTCTAGACTGTCCAGGATTTGTTTTAGGAATGGCTACTTTCTAAAATATATATCTAAAAAATAAATTTCTAACAATACATATAAACAAAATATATGAAGTAACCATATAGCTGTAATGCTATAACAGTAATATTACCAACTGCTTCAGCATATGCTAATTGAAAGGCCATTCTCACTAATAAATGACAAAAACTAGCATCCTAAATGTAAATAACAAAAATATGCATATTTCGTTGATAGATGTCTTGCCTACAGAATACTCACAACTACAGTGTCAATCAAATCGTCATACACAAACTTCCAATCTAAATGAAAATTGGACACAGTATTAACAGCAGCCCAACACATAGGGCATTAAAACAGCAGCCCAATACATTGGGCACATACAGCATTAAAATAGCAACCCAATACATAGGGCATTAAACAGCACACTAATGCATAGGGCATTAAAACAGCTACCCTATACATAGGATATTATAACAGCAGCCCCAAACATAGAGCATTAAAACAAAAGTCCAACAAATAGGGCATATCAACAGAAGCCCAACTAATTGGGCACGGTTCATTATTTCAGCCCAACCATAAGGGCGAAATATTTTCACAGGTTTTTTTTTTTTTTTTTTTATTTTTCTATTTTTCATTTATTTGTTTATTTATTTTTATTTTGTTTATACCACCGCCTTTATATAAATAAAGGCAACAGTAGTATACCGGTGTTCAAAAGTCGTAAATCGATTGAGGGAAAACAAATCCGGGTTACAAACTAAAACAGAGGGAAACACATCAACTATAAGAGGAAAACAAAGGAACAACAGGAACACTGAAGTGCAACAAAAACAAACGCCAGCATACATAGAAACGAACTATTTGATAACAACTGCCATATTCTTGACTTGGTACAGGACATTTTAAGATAAAACGGTGGGTTCAACCTGGTTTAATTGCTAGCCAAACCTCCCGCTTTATGACAATGTTAAAAAAAATATCGCTAAAATGACAACACTACGTGACAGAAATACAGCACAAACACACGCAAGAACATTCATCACAGAGAAACGCACAAACAAATAATATAATAGGCGACCCAACCTGCAAACCGCAGAACAGCAACGAACATATCCCATCAACGACAAACACCACAGGACATCACAAACAATGACGCTTACGTAACTGACATGCAAATACTCCTCCAAACAATTGTCATGACAATGATGGTATTAAACGGCAATTTTATAATTATTTGAACTACAAACGATGAGACATAACACATTATCCAACCGAAACCATCAACAATAAATACATGAATATAACTTGTCATATCAAGTAAATACATTTAACTCTTACGAGCTGTAACCACTGCAGCCCGAATTCTATTGTAATATTTTGGGTAGCATGTATTCATGTTCAAATGTACCCCATCATTTCAAAATGCAAACTGTTTACTTTTTTCTGGCCAAAAACCAGAATGTTTCCAGAAGGACACATTGTCCATTCTGTTTTCTCTAAAATCATGAAAATAGTGCGGTAAGAATGAGTTTAGTTCATCACAACTTTTATTAAACCACTTAATGTCCACCTTAGATCTTATTCTTTTTTGAGGGGACAAACGGTGCAATATTTGACAGAATATACATTTTTTAACTTCTAAACATAAGCGCTTTACAGAGCTTCACATATTCTAAACCAAATTTTTTAATTTTTTCCAGATTACCCCCTGGGTAACCCCTCAGTAAAATATGCTCTCTCGATTTATCTGAATCTAGATTCATGCTAACGGAACGATGTTTACTAACTTTAATAAAAGATTTAAATCTAGATATAAATGAATGACCTAATATAAGCGTTTTAACGACCATTCTTTCCAGTGATATAAATTAATAAATACACTGGTTCAAAAACACGCCGTGGATCTAGGTCAGCACAACAGAACAAAGTAAATTATTTAAATTTTGTAAACAACATGAACAACGAACGAAGATGTATATCTATAAATAGCTTTAGCTTCAATGATATAACTTTTAAACAGTATTTGAGATTTTTGTTTACAAACCACTTCTCAAAACAAGAGATAATCGTCGAATTAAAATTTTCTTGGAATAAAATTTCTCTTCTTTGTTTCCTAAATGAAGGTGTTGTGTAAAGGGAGACTTTTCATTGGTCGATCGGCTATCGATCTAAACAAAAGGAAACTGGTAAAACAATAACAACAATCCTGGCAGTATTGAGGGACCATAAGTTCATTTCTGCTCAACATAAATACCTATATATTGTTGTGTTTTTATTCATTGATAATAAAAGTAATATTTGTACCGATAGAAACAAAATTCAAACATCTAATTACAAAGTTAAACAAGTAACCTTCTAGAATTAAAAGTAGGATGTTATAAACCGTTTCTAATTAGTTTTTTACAGCCAAATTTCCAAACCAAATCTGTGTATCAATGGAGGAATATAGTAAAGTTTTGAAGTTATTGATGGTATCAAAATGCATGACTCAATAATTACCCAGTTAAACATAGATAACTTTCATTAAAGTCTTAACATTAATACAGACATATACACAGCGAACGAATTGGGATATCTAAACCATGTAAGATGGTACACAAAATAAATCAACGTCCAGTAAAAGGAAATTTAACAATTTGGATCGAAAAAAAAGTCCTTTTTGTCGTAAAGTTTTTGTAGAGTTTCGTTGATAACTATTTACACCACTGGGTCGATGCCACTGCTGGGGGACGTTTTGTCCCCGAGGGTATCACCAGCCCAGTAGTCAGCACTTCGGTGTTGACATGAATATCAATTATATGGTCATTTTTATAAATTTCCCGTTACAAAACTTTAAATTTTTCGAAAAACTAGGGATTTTCTTACCCCATGAAAAGATTACCTTAGCCGTATCTGGCACAACTTTTTGGAATTTTGGGTCCTCAATGCTCTTCAACTTTGTACTTGTTTGGCTTTATAACTATTTTGATCTGAGCGTCACTGATGAGTCTTATGTAGACGAAACGCGCGTCTGGCGTATTAAATTATAATCCTGGTACCTTCGATAACTATTCCCGTGTGAAACTGATATAATCAAAGTGTAGCGTAAATGAATATAAATGACAAAACTGTCAACCAATGTAAAAAGACCACAACAAGCACGTTATCGATCGTAAACATTGAAATAATTGTTAGAGCATAACTGATTACAACGAAGCTATTAAATCAAGAGTTCTAAGTGGTGAAGTTGAAATCATCCCTTCGATAATTGTACGGACGCCATCACTAATTCGTTGACCGGTATGAAATATCTGTTTCACAGATGACGACGGATATGTTTCAATTGTCGTAACCACAATCCCGTCCTCTTCCCCCGAATTTGACCTGCTGGATTAGACTATCACCGGGATTGTACTTACACCAGCAACAAGATTAATACCACATGCAGTACAGGAACTGCATACTGCATACCCTTCCAGAGATCCTGAAATCACCCCTGTTTCTGATGTGGTTCATGTTGCTCAGTCTTTAGTTTGATATGTTGTGTCTTGTGTACTGTTGTTTGTCTGTTGATCTTTTTCTTTTTTAGTAATGGGGTTGTCAGTCTATTTTCAACTTATAAGTTTGAATGTATCTTTGGTATCTCTCTTTACATAAACTTAACCTATAGAAGACTTGGTAGATTGTTGATTTATTGATAATAACTTTCTATTGGTACGTAATAAAGCAGGGAAACATTATGCATTACGTTTAGTGGTATTTTCCTAAGAAACGATCAAGCAGGATTGAAATAATTAAGCTGCAGTTAGTTACTTTATCACTAATTTTTCAGAGAAAATCTATCAATCCATCGATTTTCAAACAATATGACTTATCTTATTAAATGACAACAGGAGTTATAGTTTGTGAACCAGCAGTAGCAAATTATCTCCCTCATGTTAAGCAAAAATAATATAAAACATTTATGTGTGGACGGTAAGTAAAATGAGCTTCAATTTGACAAATGAAGTAACTTTTGTAAATATTGCTAATTATCTCCTTATTCACTTTAAAAATGTAACACGATAGGGTATATATAGTATACGTTTGAAATCAGTATTAGATCAACTAAATACTGACACAATAAAGGTTTGGTTAAACCGAACAATAATGTTCTACATTGAAAGACATTCTATTGTTCTCAGGACAGTCGGTTATTAATATTATAGTTTGTATTTGTCTTTATTTGTAGAGAACAAAGCTAAAATGTCAATTTTGATTTACATTTGTTTACATTAACTATACATTCAATCCATTTTTGGCAAGAATTGTTGCATAGTTTAAAAAAATTGACAATGCCGGGAACATTACCACAAACGAGATGACTTCAACTTTCAAATGATGAACTTTTCATTTTAATGAAGTAACATTATAGCAATGTCTGCATATGGAGTATATTTCTTACAGTTGATACACAGCTTTCGTTTCCGATCATGATTTGCTTGATAAAAGGTTGATGGTTACAAGGAAGGTAAAGATGATTTCATCCATTCGAACTTTGATGGAATATCTGTGCCACAGATAACCATTGACATGTTCCAATTGTTGTGGCCGCAATCCCGATATGTTTTACACAATTATGATATCAACGAACGATACTTTTTATCGAATGTGTACTTACAATGAGCACGTGTGTCATCTGTAGATTAGGATTAACTTACCGTTCCCTAGACTGTTGTTTGTTTTTTTGTTGTTTTTCGGGGTTTTTTTTCATCTTTATATCTTCAACGTATTTGTAAGTTCCCTTTCACTAGTATCAATATTTCAGTCTGAAACGGTCATTTTGGT